TCGATAAACGTGCAGCAGAGGATGTGCGCATACAATTTACTATCAAAGCTGAGACTAGTGATGATGCCGATGTGCTGCTATTGGATGTACCCGCACATGTGGCCGTGAAAGAATTACCCTCCTGCACGGGCATATTGAAGTTGAGATGTAAGCAGGAGTTGGCTGAGTTGCAAGTGGTTTTCAACTTGGCCGAAGGCTTACGCTGTAGTCAAGATACACTCGCCTATGTGGATATGAGAGCAGGGCAGGTCGAGACGTTGGAGTTGGACTTTTATGTGGATGATCTGCTGCATTTGTATACGGCACGCGTCGATGTTATTGTTTCCTTTATCAGCAATAAAGTGAGTGAAATGTGTGGAATAATGAGCGAAAAGGAATTGTATTTGTCGTTCGCTTTATTTGCTACTAGGGTATACCGCGCGTCTTGCAACAATCCGCATACTTACCGCTAAGCATGTTCTTCAAACAAAAGCATCCACAAAAGTCGGCTGAGATCAAACTTACATACAATATTATGTCGAAAACGCTAACACCCAAGCTATCTACGTTCTTTCCCGAATTTGTAGCGATGGAAAGTGAATCGCAAGCGCTGGGACTCCTACTACTTTGCCCGGGCGATGAGAAACGTGAAGAGGTTGTGACTATTGTGCTGGCAAAGAACTCCAATCGTCTGCGGTTGGTATTACAGTATTAAAGCTGCTGATTGAATTGCCAATATCTTTTTGTTTTTTGAAATTCTTTAGAATACAATCAGATACATTAGAGACACTTCCAATGATATTAGAACGTATAACGAAAGTGGGATTGGAAAATGCGCAAGAGTCGCATGCTTCAAAGGATAAACGTGTGAAAAATGTGATAAATCCCAGAGTAAAAACGATTATGGCCAATCCAGCGCTACCAATCCACTCCATTTTGCTTAAGATCGATCTGCATCGCGAGACACAAGAGAATATACACAAGCAAATGGTAAAACTGTTGAAACTCTCTGGCGATCTAGATCTACATAGTACATAACATATTTTTTTTCGTTTTACAGTTGGAATTGGATTTGTTATTGCAACAATTTAAAACACTACAGCGCAGATTACAGGATCACTCTGAGGATGAGTCCAAGGAAACATTGGTCATGCAGATTGAGGAAAATTATGATCAACTCATAGCTGAGGGTGATAAATTAATGGAAATACGCAAACAGGAAAAAGCGTAAGTATAAATGCAAATATACTATACCAGATTTTACGCGCGGCTCTGCCCGCCTGACATACCGTTTAATGTTATGCTGTCAAATGTTATAGCTGCAACTCAAACTATTCTACCGAATGCTATACATAGAGTGTAAATTAACGAATTAACTAAGTAAAATTTTAGTTTTGAAACGGTTAAGTACCCTCCTTAAAGACTAGTATTTTGCAGACACACTTTCTTTATCTTGTTTCATTAGGCGCCCGCATTTAAATGTTTCATTAATTTCTGCAACCCTTAAAAATATTTAACAAAGGATTATTTTAGGAATAAAGCTTACTTAAACCTTTTTCATCTGACAGCCATATTAAAAATGTCCTTCAACTTAATAAAATTTACTTTGAACCTTCAAAAACATGTTTGAAATAAACGTTTCCTTACCTTGTTAATTAATGGGATTTTGAATTAAAACCCAGGTGGCAATCTTTCTAAAAAAGATTTCCGAAATAAACCTTTCTCTTTTGATGGCCATATAAAAATATTTAATAAAACTTGCTAATTAAACTCATTTTGAATTTCCAAACAGGTGGCAGCCTTCAAAAATATTTTCGAAATGAAGTCTTCTATAGGAAGATAGGTCTACTTCGACTTGATTACCAAATAAAATATTTCTTTTAACTTTTTAGTGAAATTGATTTCGCACTCAAAAACAGGTGTCAGTCCCCTCAACAATCATTTTCGAGCTTTCTTAAATCCCTATCGTTTGATATCCATAGAACAATATTTTTCATTTAACTTGTTAACTAAATCGATTTCAACATTTTGCACAGGTTGGCTTGCTTTTCGAGGCATTGATTCATCCTTTGTAAGGCCCCGTAACCAGCGGTTGTGCTACTGAGTTGGGCAAGCATTCCAACAGCTGCTATTCTATCGCTTGTTTTGTATAGAAAAAGATTTCACATGCAAATAGATTTTAAGAATTGCAATTTTTGAGAGAAGAAATTAAAAGTATTTCAAATTTCGAGACCAAATAATTTGAAAAAATAAAAATAAAAATCCAATCAGCTGTTGTACTAATACTACCTGTTCAATGTGCCTTGACTTCACCTGACAAACAACAAAACAAAAATTCAACAATTGTATTGAGATTGAGGCCGGGTCTTTTTTACAGAAAATTTTGTGGAAAAAGAACTCTAATTTACATTTTGGTAGAAGTTATAGCCGGGCCATTCCACTGTGACTGGTGGGACATTTTACTCCAGAATGTGATCAATTGTGAATTTTAGCTATGTCGTTGGAACCTTTACAACATCGAAACACATTTTTTAACATAGTACGATAACTAATATTTAAAATTGCTCTAACAAAAATACCAAATGATTTCTTAGTTTTATGTAACTATCATTTGAATGAACAGTTTTTTGAGATAGGGCGTTTTCGAACTGGCTGCCGAGAGTGGTCGATCTTCCACTCAGCGATGTTACATTAAAAATAGGAATTTGAATAGCAGCTTTTGGAACGTTCGCCCAACTCGGCAGCACGACCG